TCAGCCTTAAAGAAGTGACTTGTTTCTTTTTTAATCCATGCTTTGCAGTGACTAGGCATATGCTTCTGAGGAGCTTGCAAAAAGATATTGTCAGCATCTGGTATTTAGAGGTAGACTGCATCTGAACTTGGGAGTTCAGGTTTGCAATTGTAACTGATAGGAGAGGCTTATGGACTGGACCAGAACAGGTAGGAGGAGCTTTGAATGGATAGGTCTAAAAAGAAAGGTGTGGTTGGAAGGGCCTGTCAGGATTAGGGAGGCATGTAATAACCTCCAGTTTTATGAGAAACTCTGTTTAGATTTTATCCATTGCACAGAACGCTGCCTTAGCTAGAATAGGATATGGAGCTTATATAATAATAATAATAATAATAATAATAATAATAATAATAATAATAATAATAATAATATTTATTTATACCCCGCCTTTCCAAAAAGGATCAAAGCGGCTTACAAAAATTAAAAAGGCCAATATCATACAATAATACAATACATACAATACAATACAATACTGGTCCAAGGAAGAGAACAGGAATAATAATAATAATAAAAAAAATCAGCAGAGTGGTACATGGAGAAAGGATACCATTACTGAAACGGAAAAGCCAGCTGAAATAAGTATGTTTTAAGATTTTTCTTAAAGGAGGCTAAAGAGACAGAGGAGCGGAGCTCTATAGGAAGCTTATTCCAAGAAAAGGGGGCAACGATGGAAAAAGCCCTCTGGGAGGTCCTCATCAAGTGAGACCTGGGGACCTCTAACAGAATATGCCTCTATATGGAAGGAAGAGCCGGATAGCAGAAGCGCTACCTCTTCGGTGTGGCCAGGGCTCCAGCTCTGTCACAGCAAGTGCTGGGGCTGTTTTGTTGCCCCCAATTGACTGTTGATGCCTTGGGGAAGATGGGGGACTTCCGGCTCCAGCTGGAACTAGGCTGCTAGGCACTGAGGTCCCAGAATCAGTGACAGGTAGACTTCCATGAGGCCACCAGTGATAAGGTGGAACCCCTGAGTGTCAGCTTGCCCCTGGGATCACCATTTCAGGTGGCTGTATGCCACCCAAAGGCACAAAGAATGGAGCCAGACCTGGCTGGCCTACCACAAGGGGCCAGGCCAGACAGCACAGAAAATCTTGGGCTGACCTGGCTCCCAGGGGGAGGCATTAGCATCCTACTGCACCACCAGTGGCTGCTCCTACTCCCATTCCCCCCCCCCCACTTGTGGGTGAGGAGGTGTTAGTGGGTTTTACGTGCACTCTCTCAGCGTTTATGGAGCAGGTGGGGCATGCCAATGCCCTACCTGCCCCTGGGCCAAGCTCTCTGCCCCTCCATGCAAGCGAGGATCAGACAGCCCAGGGGGAGAGCTGGTAATGGGGTTGGGTGAAGCATCAGAGGCGAACATGACCCACCTCTTCTCCTAGCAGCTCCAGTACCAGCTCATCCACCAATAGTTCCAGAAGCAGTTGTTTTCTGTGGCCTCGTCTAATGGCGACAAGCGCAAGGGGTGCAAGAGAAAGCATGGTGACTAAAAGAAGAACAGAAGATTGTATGTCAGAGGTGGCCAGGACAGAAGGGACAGGGATGGTGAATTCTTTGACCTGGCATTGGGCAGGGACAGCAACTGTTTGGGGGGAAGCTTTGGTTCCTGCTTGCCCTCCTGAGCCATTAGGCTCAGGACCAGACACCCAGGTTTGGGGTGTGTGTGGGAGGACCATCAGGCACTAGCCTTCCCCACTTTCACAGAAAATGAGAACCCCCTGGGCTTGCACTTGTCCAAAAAGATTTGGAACTGTATCCTCTGAGGATATTTTGTAGATGTTTTCACCTTGTTAAAACCCATGGGGGAGAAGGGAGGTGCCCTTAGCTCCAAGAAGAAGTGTAAGTGGGAGGCCAAGGTACATCCAGTTGAGTGGTCTTTCACCAACTGGATGGTTTTTCCCCCCAGTCTTTATGGGGGTGGCCCTTATGGCACCTTGCCAACCATATGGCCAATGTCCTTAAGGCTCAGGCCATCGCAGGAGAGACTGGGGCCATCGCATATAACACTGCCTTCCACCAGCGGGCATCACAGAGTAGCATGGCCCCGTGGAACCTCATCAACAGGGAGATTTGGCTGGTTGAGGTGGGTCCCCATGTCAAAGGGAAAGGAATCCTCCAGGATCTCCAAGTGGGTGGGAAAGAGGGAGCCCACGGGCTCTATGCTGGGAGTTCAACTTAGGGAAATGTGTCCGAGCCCATTGCAAATTCGAGCATTGCTGTGAGCTTTGCTTGGGCCCTCCTGCTAAGCTAGTGTGTTCCCAACTGGCTGGTGCCCAACAGCAGCCCCATTTGTTGTGGAAGGGGGAGGCGTCGCAGTGAATAACAACATTACACCCAACTGGAAAGAAAAAGGCCACAACTTTATTAAATGCAGGTAACAGGTAGGGTTGGCCCAAATGCATAAAGTCCAAATCTGGCATCAACCAGCTCACTTTTGGGTCAGTGGGCCTGGAGGCCAGCCGCCCCCCAAATGCTCTAAGGGTGGCTGGAGCCAGCAAAGAAAGGACACCCTGCATCACAACAAGTTCCCAGTTCTTCTGGGAAGGGCGTGGGCAAGCGGTCTGCTCTGGGCACCAGTTGCCAGAACATAGCCTTTCTGCACGGCGGTGATTTCGAAGATTATCACATGGGGTAATAGGCATTATAGAAGAGGATTGTTACTGTAATTATTGCACGATCAGGGCAAAAATGTTTACACAGTGTTGTCCTGCTATCATTCTTGCAATGTCATGAAAGCATGGTGCTAGTGGAATAAGTCATTGACGATAAAAAAAACCCATCAGTGGCTTGCTGATCACGATTCACTTGTGCTATCGGAAATGTGTGAAAGGCAATCACGTTTCAATAGTGTTATTTCTTCCTTAAGAATTCTTTGAAGAGTGCTGTGGGTCTCCCTTCCCCAATTATCGCACCACACTCTAAAAATGGGAATCATAAACTTTTACTGCTCTGACTGCCTCCTGTTGTATTTTGGGGTTGTAGTTCAGTGTGGCTTAAGGGCTCTCTGGTTAAATATTCTAAATGGCGCTTTCTAAACTACCAGTCCCAGATGCAACAGGAGGGCAGTCTTCTAAATCGAATTCCCCAGTGTGCCTGGGAATCACTTCCTGTGTCACACCTGTGAGCTTCTGAGTGAGGAGTCCTCAGCTGTGAGAGAAAGATCACTCTGCCACAGTAGGCTATTTTTAAGGATAAAAATGGGGATTTATATAAATGAAGTCTGACATGTCCAAAGCTGTGAAGTTCCAGAGGTTGTACAATTTGCTAGGACTGAAAAAACATGGGAAGGGTCCCACCTGCCTTCTTTCATGATGCAGGAACAACAAGCCCAGAACATTTAAAAAATGGTTAATCATGCTGATGTGTGGAATGTAAAAGCACTTTTTTTTACTGCTTATGAATCATTAATGCCCCATTTTTGCAACCAATGTGAAAGTAAGGGGCTGTACAGACTGGCACTTTAGGCTGGCTTGGGGATGGAGTGGGGGCATGGCAACCACATGCTGGCCACCCCAACTCCATCCCGATGCTATCGTCATGCCGCCCACCCAACCAGACAGCAGACGGCGAAAGGGCATGTCTTTGGTGCAGTGTTTAGACATGCTGCACCAAAGAAATGTCAAAAAGTCATCGTGGTGGTGGCAAGGGCGGCTTTTTGGCACTCTAAAAAGGAGGAGCAAAGTGCCGAATCAGGGCCATGGCGTGCATTTGCCGCAGTCCCGATCTGGCAAGCAAAGAGGTGGCTTGCCACCCCCCCTTTGGGATGGTCTGTTCAACCCCTTAGTGTTTAAATATTGTCATTGCATCGTTCTTGCTTAATGATGTTAAAATAAATTTTTAAACTGAAAATAACTTCATGTGATAATCTTCTCCCCACCTCCATGGCTGGGAGGAGGGTGCCATTCCATTTTGGATCTCAGAATTAGATTGTCTGAGCTGCTGGATTTCCTTGTTTTGGTTTACTTGGTTGTTTGAATTGTGCTGCCTATTGCTGTCTTTGCTGTTTGGGACTTTCCCCCACCGCTGTTCTTGCCAGTTCCCCTTTTTGTTTAATTCACCTGGGCATTTCTTTTTCTGATTTTTGGATTCTTTGGCTTGGTTCTCAAGGAACACCCTCTTTTCAATTTGGAGGGCTTTTCCATCTGTTTGCTTCTCTTCTCTCTCTCCCTCCCCCCCACCTGCATTTTTTTAAGGCTCTCTTGCCTTTCAGGCTTCCAGTATTTTTGGTTTGACTAATAGTTTTTGAAGGCTTGGTGCTAAAAAGCCTAATCTAGGGACTTCCTTCCCCTGCACTTTGTCTCACAAAGTGACCTGGAGGTTTGGGTGAAGTTTTGGGGCCCACCCAGACCCAAAGTATCTTTTATTGACTCCTGACTTCCTTCTCAATTGCCCCCACCCCTCAAGTTACACTCTCTCAGCCTCAGGGGCGGACTGACCATTATTGTTCTTTTAAAAGTCTCTTTTGTGTCTGCTTTGTGTGCCGACCACTTTTGTGACTGTGTTGGGTGGGGCCCATGAGGATTGTTTGAGATTTCAGTTTCTCAAGTGCATTTTTCCCTGTCCTGCTCAGTTTTATCCTCCCCATGCTATGTTGCTGGGTTGAACTTGGGCCTGCTTGGCTGTTTAAACGGGGTTCATTCTAAGGCACTTTCTTTCCTTAATATCTGCTATTTTGGGGAGGTTGTATAGAACTTTTTCAATACTGATAATATATATAAACAAACCTTTCCTTTCCTTTTCTCCTTCTTTCCTTTTTCTTTGCCTTTCTCGTTTTCTTTCTATTAAGCCTTGGAGACCTCCCTTCCTTCTTCCTTCTCCTCCCTCCTCCTTTCTTCCAACAACATAGAAAAAGGTTTTCCCCGGTTATATTTAATATACAACTGGAGATTTCTGATCTTACAACTATTACTGCAGGCCCTGTTTTATACAGGAACCCAAAGCTAAGTTTTATTTTAATTGTGCTGGGAGACAGTGTTGTGCAGTGGTTTGGGTGTTGGACTGCTACTCTGCAGACCAGGGTTTGATTCCCAGCTTGGCCCTGAAATCCGCTGGGTGACCTTGGATGGGACACACTCTCTCAGACTCAGAAGACAATTCTGACCCCTTTCAACACATCTTGCTAACAAAAACCACGAGAGAGTCACAGTCTTTCAGCCTCAGAAAAAGACAATGTCAAACCCTCTCTGCATACATTTTGCTGGGAAAACCCCCACAAGATAATCACACTCTCTCAGCCTCAGAGAAATGCAGTGGGAAACCTCCTCTGAACACATCTTGCCAAGAGGTCACTTTTTTGAGCCTCTCTCAATTTTGTTGATGCTGTTGGGATATTTATTTTCTAGTCAATGAGTTTGAATTACAATTATTGTTTTAATTTGGCTTGTTCTGTTGTAGACTATATTCCAGGAGAAGCCTTTTGGACTCAGATTTAAATTCCTTGATTTGATACATTTCAGACTCTCTCATGAGTTTTTGTTGGCAAGATGTGTTGAAAGGGGGTCAGAATTGTCTTCCTCTGAGGCTGATAGGAACAAAGCCAGACGTATGAACACAAGTGTCCAATGTTTGACATGCAGGGATAAGGAGAAATACTACAATGACCAATGCAGCGAAACAGAAGACAAGAACAACAAAAAGGGAAGAACGAGAGACTTCTATCAAAAAAATCAGAGAAATTAAAGCCAAGTTCAAACCGAGGGCAGGGATGCTCTATAGAGAAAAAAAGAACATAATACAGGAACAAGAAGAAATAAAAATATGCTGGAAGCAATACACAGTAGAGTTATACAAAAGAGATGAAAGAATGAATGATATTTGGAATGAGAAGCCATATAAAGACAAACCCCCAAATTCTAAGAAGGGAAGTGGAATCTGCAATAAAGGAAATGGGAAAAAAATAAATCACCGGGAACAATGATATCCCAGTTGAACTGCTACAGTGCCTACAGACAGATGCAACTTTAGTGCTAACTGAAATATGCTAACAAATATGGAAAACTAAGCAGTGGCCAACAGACTGGAAACTCTCAATACACATACCAATCCACAAGAAAGGAGATAAAAAAGACTGCAGCAACTATAGGACAATAGCACTAATCTCACATGCAAGCAAAATAATGCTCAAAATTCTGCAGCATAGACTCCTACCTTGCATGGAGAGAGAAATTCCAGAGGTGCAAGCAGGATTTAGAAAAGGAAGGGACACTAGGGATCACATTGCAAACATACAATGGCTAATGGAGTGCACCAAAAAATTCCAAAAAAGAACCAGTATATGTTTCATAGACTACAGCAAAGCATTTGATTGTACAGATCACAAAAAGCTATGGAATGCACTCAAAGACATGGGGGTGTCACTACATCTAATAGTCCTAATGAGGAAACTGTACCAAGGACAAGAGGCCGCTGTCAGAACAGAATTTGGGGAAACAGGCAAAGGGATCAGGCAAGGCTGCATCCTATCACCCTACTTGTTTAATTTATATGCTAAAAACATCATAAGAAAAGCAGAATTAGAATCAGAAAAAGGAGGAGTTAAGATAGGAGGAAACAACATTAACAACCTAAGATATATGGATGACACCATAATATTAGCAGAAGATGTTCAGGAATTAGAACATTTAGTAAGAAAGGTCAAAGATAAAAGTGCAAAGGCAGATCTGATGCTGAACATAAAGAAAGCAAAAATAATGACCACAGAAGAAATAGACAAATTCAATCTAGACAACGAGGAAATTGAAACAGTTAAAGAATTCCCATATCTAGGATCAAACATTGACCAGAATGGAGACTGCAGTCAAGAAATAAGAAGAAAACTAGGAATGGGAAGGGCAGCTATGAAAGACATGGAAAAGATACTGAAGTGCAAAGACATACAACTGAGCACTAAAGTCAGAATCGTCTAGGCCATTGTATTCCCAGTTACCATGTATGGATGTGAGAGCTGGACAGTGACGGAAGCAGACAGAAAGAAAATCAACTCTTTTGAAATGTGGTGCTGGGGAAGAGTACTTAGGATCCCATGGACAGCCAAGAAGACAAACAAATGGGTTCTTCAACAGATCAGACCAGGGTTCTCCTTGGAAGCAAAGAGGATCAAGTTGAGACTATCGTATTTTGGCCACAAAATGAGAAGGCTTGGATCACTAGAAAAAACCATAATGCTAGGAAAGGT